TACATGGATTTGACATGCATTTTTTGGTGTTCCAGGAACTCAGAATGACCTAAATGTCTTTGCCCAATCTCTAGTCTTCGACGAAGTGCTGCAAGGAAAAGCACCCAGAGTCATATACTCAATCAATGGCCATACATATGACGGGTAGTACTATCTTGCAGACGACATTTACCAAAGGTGAACAACGTTTGTCAAAACAGTCTACATCCACAAAATGAAAAAGAAAAACACTTTGCAAAATGTCAAGAGGGGTGTAGGAATGATGTGGAGCGTTGGTTTGGTATTTTGCAAGTTTGTTGGACGATTGTCAGGTTAGCTGCCAGAATGTTTAATGTTGAGGCACTTCGATACATCATGATGACGTGTATCATTTTCCACAACATAATTGTGGAAGATGAGTATGATTATGATGCCGTTAACGAATACGAGCCAGACATAATGAACAACTCAAGAACACGTATATATTGTGCTCATGACGGCATTGAAGATCCTATGCAACATAAGACATTGGAACGAGATGGACATTACAATCAATTGATCGTTGAGCGGTACACTTCATTGCAAAAGCCATACTGGCACTGTACCCGTTAAAATGACTTGATTGAGCACCAATGGGGATTGCAATAAGGTCAAGATAATTAAAAGGAGCTTATGGTGGAGCAATAAAGTTCTTAGTTTATTTAGTGTGTTTTTTTAAGTTTATTTGATGAGTTTATGTAATTTTATTTAATGTGTTTTTTAAGTTTATTTGATGAGTTTATGTAATTTTATTTAGTGTGTTTTTTTTTAAAGTTTCTTTGATGAGTTTATGTAATTTTATTTAGTATGTTTTTTTAAGTTTATTTGATGAGTTTATACAATTTTATTATGATAATGATACGTGATATGATGAGAATGGTTAAAAATCTTATCTGAAATGAAAATTATTTATTTATTTATTATTTTATAAAAAATTTAGTAATATTTTAAATGGGCAAGGTGCTAACGTATTTTGTAGGAATGGAGATCGTTTGTGCTAGAACATTTTTTAAACTTTGTGCCGGCGTATTTTTTAGGAGTAGAAATACATTTAACCTATTACCATTTGTTGAAGTCTATAACTGTTTAATTAAATAGGTTGAATGCTAGTTCAATTTTTTAGGAATGAACTTGTTGTTATGACTTCATTTAGACCTGGTTTGGTACTGAGGTGATTCTGAAAAAAGCTGCTATCAAAAAAAGTTGGGAGCTGTTTTTGTGTTTGGTAAACACTCAGCTTCAGCTTTTTTTCACAGTTTTGGATGAAAAAAAGCCAAAAACAAGAAGCTGCAAAACCTAGCTTTGAAAAACCAGCTTTTTTTCACATCTATTTTACATAAAAGTTTACCAAACACTCTAATACTGCTTTTTTTTTTTCAAAAGCACTTTTACAAAAAAGTTTACCAAACACTCTGCTGCTTTATTTCACAGCTGCTTATTCTCACAGCATAGCAGAAGCAGCTTTTTTTCAAAGCACAGCAATACCAAACCAGCCCTTAATGTGGTGTTGGTCATACGAAGGGACTGCACAGAAGCATCTTTTAAACAGTGGGTGTATGTCACCGCCAAAATAAAAGTTTCACCGATAACGATGACACCATTAGGAACATATAAAAGCAAAGGTCAAAAAGCAAAATAAGAAGCTATAACGATCATTACACTGCTCGAAGGTCTTTTCAGTATTCATTGTGCCGATTGAGAAATTGTGCAATCATCATGACAGCGGTTGTTTTCAAAATCTCTTCGTTGAGTTTAACAAGCAAATTTCCAATTTCTTTTTTGGCCAGATTCTTCTCTTTTTCTTGAACAAGAAGTTTATTTCTTAAATTCCAATTCAATTGTCATTTGAATTTTTTTTATAAAGAAAAGAATAATCTTTATCTTTAAGAATGATTTTTTTTTTTCTCGTACATTGACTGATTAAAGTGACAAAGTTTATTTCTTAAATTCCAATTCAATTGTCATTTGATGTTTTTATAAAGAAAAAGAAGAATCTCTATCTTTAAGAATGATTTTTGCTTTTTCTCACGTGCATTGATGATTAAAGTATTCACCATCCGTAGTTTTGTTTTCCATTTTATTATTGCCGTTTCAACACTTATTGACGTAGTCCTAAAATTTTCATTTGGTAACAAGTACATGTTAAATAGTAAATCTAAATCAAATCGTAAATATTGTGAATTTATTGGCGGAGCTAAGTACGAGGCTCTATTAAGCTATATTAGCATAGAGAGATTTTTGGTTCTTCAAGCTTAAAAATAATAATCTATTGGTCTATTTTATAATTTTTAATTGTCATATTCTACTTTAAAATGAAAATTTTAAAATATTAAAACTGCTTTTAATGAAAATAGAGCTAATAAATGTTGAATAAACTCATTATTTTAACTAATATTATATTTTAACATTAATAAATTAAAATTTTCATATCATAAATGGTTCCTTATATTATTTCCATAATAGTTTTGAAAATTAGAAGCCTAGAAAATATAGCATAATATTCTCGCTTCAAATTATTATATTCAAGTTTTTAATATTATGTAACTTTATGTAAGCAACAAAAAATTAAAATTTGATTTTGTAGTATTAATTTTAATTAATTCACCCATCGAATAATTCATGACCACGTCATTGGGTGAATCAATTCAAATTCAAGCGATTATAGTTTAATTGTAGTTTGAAATTTTGACAAACCTCAAATGTGCAATTTGATAAGTTATTAAAACCCAAAAGCGAACCAACTCAAATCGCGTTTTGCCCTACAAAAGATCATATCCAATTTATTTTTTAAGTCGGTAGCATGCGATATTCTATTTCGAAATGTGTTCCACAACATAACGCACATATCAAACCCTACTCTGGTGTTGTTTTTGGTTAGCCGTGATGGTGGTCAGCTGTCTTTAGAAAAATGTTGCCCTCAAATCATTTTGGAGAGGTGACAGTCTACCAGCTAATTGACGGTTAGTTTATTATTGTTGTGTTTAAAAAAAAAAAAATTTTTTTTGCTTTGTTGTGGGAATAAAGAGTTTTAAAATAAAGTTGTTAAGTATTTAGTAATTTTTTTTTTCTTTTAACAGTGTCCGAGTGTTTGGTAAATTTTTATATAAATTGTTTTGAATATGTTAAATGACGAAAAATGATATAATATTTAATGTGGTATAATAATTATCAAAGACAATAATGTAGGGACATGTGGAGGTATATTTGTCATTTGAAAAGTTCATTAAATGAGCATTAATTATTATGCTTTGAGAAAAAAAAAACATTTTTATTAGAAGCATGGTAGACTTTGCTTCTGTTTTTCTACCTTCATTTATATCAAGCTTATTGAAAAATATGGTATATTAAATGTGTTTGGTTAAAAAAAAAAACACTTTTTGCTTTGTTTTACTAAACACATTTAATTTACCAGATTTTGCAATAAACTGCTTTATTTAAAGCACCACAATTCCAAACCGACCCTAATCTTTTGGCAGTCTACAAAGGTAGGGTTGGTTTGAAATTATGGAGCTTTCAAAAAAAGTTGGAACATTAAATGTGTATGGTAAAATAAAAATAAAAAAGTGTTTTTTCTTTTTTATTTTTGGTTTTTTTTTTAAACTGCCATTAGAAAAACATATAAAAATAGAATCAGTGTCTACCATGCTTCAAAAAATTTTTTTTTTTTTCAAAGCATAGTAATCAATGCTAATTTAATAAACATTTCAAATGGCAAGTATATCCCCATATGTTTTACAAAATTACAATTTTTGCCCATATATTATCGTCTTCGACAATTATTATATCACATTAAATACTATATCTTTTATAGTTATTTAACATATTCAACGCAATTTATATAAAAATTTACCAAACACTCAGACACTGCTTTTTTAATTAAAAAAACTTTTACAAAAAAAAAAAAAGTTTACTAAATACTTAACAACTTTATTATACAGCTGTTTATTATCACAACACAACAAAATCATTTTTTTTTTAAAAACACAATAATACCAAACTAGCCCATAGTTGATTATCCCTGGATCTTGTGGTTGAGGGTTACTCAAGTTGGTTTGAGAGGCTTTACTTCTTCACAAGCTTGCCATATCCAGCGATCTACTAACATGGCGGCATATAAAATGGCCACATTGACCTTAATTTCAGTTTGAGGAGCCTCAAAATTTAATCTCAACTGTACGTGTTCATGGTAATTTTTTTTATAAAATTCCTATCGTTGCACTCAAAAGACCTACAACAGTAAAAATTGACGACAAACTCTCTCCAATCGAGCCCTTCAGTTTTTTACGCGGCGCTGATTGAATTGAAGACAAAGCCCTCTATTGTTGTCAAAGTTATTTAATAATTTTTTAATAAATGTGATGCAATATATAGTAAATGTTATTGTGTGTACCAAGTATTTGATTGGTTGTACAGAAATTTTCCATTTTCTAGTTTTAGTAAAATACTTGGGAAATGCTAAAGACACTTTTTCTAAAGTGTGACTCTCCACGTATTCTTCGCCACCTCATATTTTTGGAACAATATGAGCTGACAAAGAGTCTATAGAGAGTCACACTTTGAAAGAGTCTTCTTTCTTGGCCATTGAAAGAAAGTTTGCTCCCAAGCAGTGTCCCTCTTTTAATTATGAGTAATGCGAGGGGAACTAAATTTGTAAACCAAATTTTGTAAACTAAAAGACATAGGAATTAATGATTAGATTATTACTTAAACGTTGATAAACGTGCTTATTTTCTATTGATGATACATTATTTAATTTAGAAATTTAATCTACAAATTTAATCTTCCTAACATTACTCTTTAATTACTAACCCAATGTCCCATGAACGTGTCTGCGTGAACTACACTTGTGTCATCTAGTATAAAGCAGGAAAAGTTCCAAAAGACAAAAGAGACTACTGGACAGTAGTATTTCATCTCTTTAATTACTAACCCAATGTCCCATGTACATGTCTGCGTGAACTCCACTCGTGTCATCAGCTAGTATAAAGCAAGAAAAGTTCCAAAACACAAAAGAGACTACTGGACAGTAGTATTTCATCTCTTTAGATACCAGTGCATATCTCAGATAGAAGGAGAGATAGAGAGAGAGAAACAGAGATGGGGGTGCCCTCGTTTTTCAAATGGCTGGTGAACAAGTATCCCAAAGTGGTGGTCAAAGCTATCGAAGGTCAGAGAGAGGAGTCTCCAAACCCAAACCCTACTACCTTGGAGTTCGATAACTTTTATCTTGACATGAATGGGATCATCCATCCTTGCTTCCACCCAGAAGCAGATGACGATGATGATGGCGGAGTACGACCTTATTCATTCCTCTCTTTCTCTCAATCTCTCCCTCTCTCTATATATACATGTATTCTTCACTAGCAATAAGATAAACATTCTATAATAACAATTTTTGATGCTTTCTTTATCTTTATGGTCCGAAATTTTATTTATCCATATGTGGTTACATAATATAATTTCTACATTCTGTGTTCAGCTTCTGCCACCAGCAAATTTTGAAGAGGTGTTCATCAATATTTTTGAATATATTGATATACTTTTCAATATTGTTAGGCCACGGAAGCTACTATACTTGGCCATAGGTGAGAAAGTTTGAATTTTGTTTTTGATCTCGTAGTGTTTAATAAACCCATGAGACTTTTATACGCTGTTTGCTTTCCCCTATCAACCGCAGTGCAGTTGAGATATGTGTTCTTATATGTGTGTTGCACTTAATGATATAAACTAGAAATATTGCACGTGATGGTATAAATTTTAATTTTTGTTGTAGATGGAGTTGCTCCAAGGGCTAAAATGAATCAACAGCGAATGAGGCGCTTTAAGTCAGCGAAGGATGCTGAGGTCGCTGTGGGTACTTTTACTATGAGATGCTTCTGAATCACAGTTTATTTTGCTTTACGTAACCTTGTTTGTACAAGTTTATAAATGTGCCAAATGTTGGTATCAAATGTGTAGGAAGTTGAAGAGGAGAAGCTGAGAAGACAGTTTGAATTGGAAAGCAAACAAGTCCTACCAAAGCAGCGGTCCGAAGTATCAGATTCTAATATAATAACCCCCGGAACTGAATTTATGCATAAATTGTCAAAGGCTCTTCGAAACTATATCAGTTTACGTTTGAACAATGATCTAGGCTGGAGGGACATCGAGGTCTGGTCCATCATAACATTTACATATCAAATTACTAATACATGAACAACCATTATTTACACGAACAATCATTAGTGTGTAATTCATGACGTCTGTATGTATTGTTTTCCTGTTTCTTCTTTGTTTTAATTTCATGGTTACTCTATTAGGTAATTTTGTCTGATGCCAATGCTCCTGGGGAAGGTGAGCACAAAATAATGTCATTCATACGCTCACAGCGCAATCTTCCTTCATATGATCCAAACACGCGCCATTGCTTATATGGACTGGTATGATGAATAGTATGCTTCACACAACTGTTTCTTGTTTTTGTATTGTTTTAGAATTTTGTTGGAAATTTGGAAGAAAAAGAATTATACAGTTGCACTTATTATTTTTGTTTAAATACTTATTTCCTAACCTACTTCTCATTTTTTTGAATTTTTACATTCTGATCCTTCATTGGCATCGTGGCATGCAGGATGCTGATCTTGTCATGTTGGCTTTGGCGACGCATGAGCTTCACTTTTCCATACTGAGAGAGGTTTAATTACAAAGCCTTAAAATTTCTCAAATTCAAAAATTAGTCACCCTGTTGATTTCATGTTTGACTAGGGCTTTCAAAGCATCAATGAAGCAATGTGACAATATATGGAGCTTCTGACTTTATCTAATGAACTTGAATTTTTTCTTCTCATATTCTGGATATAGGATGTTCTACATAATGAACAGCGTCGTACAAACTGTGAATCTATTCGAGAGAAGGGTCCATCTTCAGGAAAGTCAGATAACAAAAAAAGATCCATGCTAAAAAAGCCCTTTCAGGTATCCAAAGTGGTGCTGTTATCCTTCCCTGAAACTTGACTGCTGTTTTGGTTCACCTTTTCTGTTCTTCTAATTGCAGTTTCTTCATGTTTGGATTTTGAGGGAATACTTGGAGCTTGATTTGAAAATTGACGACCCACCCGAGAACTTTAAGTTTGATCTTGAGCGTATAATTGATGACTTTATCTTCATGTGCTTTTTTGCGGGAAATGATTTTCTGCCCCACATGCCAACTTTGGAAATTCATGAGGTTCTTTGTAAACTTCATTGTTTTATGGCCCTTGTTTTATAGATGCCAATACAAAAATAAGTATGTAAACCGGAACTAATTTTACACGCCAATAATTGTGTCCAGGGTGCAATTGACTTGCTGATGACTGTCTATAAGAAAGAATTAAAAAATCTCGGTGGTTACATGGTTGATATGCTCCGGGTATAACATTGAGTAGCCTCATAACACTTTCATCTTCTTCACAACAAAAATAAATATCAATGTCGACAAGATCATCTTCATGCCACTTCTTATATGCACAAATCCAGGTCAATGACAAGAAATCAGGGTACATCAAGCTATCCAGAGTTGAGAAATTCATCCTTCTTGTTGGTTCTTATGAAGACAAAATTTTCAAGAAAAGATCAGAAATACGGGACCGTAAACTGAGACGTCTGTGTTATTATAATGATTCTGTGAGTGCTTGGCAGACGCATTTGTGTGTAGTGTTTATCTAATAAATGTTCTGCTTATGAATTACATGCTGCGTTAATTGCATATGCTTTGCCAGCTAGAGGAAGAAGTTGATACCGGAAGTTCAATTACCGGTTTGAGCAATACTCACGCATTCTTCAGTGGAGAAGAATTGGAAATTTGGTCAGATGGAACGTCTGACATTATGCATTCTCAAGTACGTTTGTTCCCTTAAGGTTTCCTATGATGTAATTTTCGGGGTATAGTGTTTTATATGCGTACACTATATGCTTCATTATACACATGTGGTAAAGTATTGTGGTTCTATATTTTTTGGCATGCTTAAAAGTTGGTGGTCTCGTTTATACATGTATATATATGTGGTGTTTGTTCAGGTTGTAGAAAATACAAAGGAGTTGAAGAAAAAATTGAAAGATAACATCAGAAGGAAATCTGATCTGTTCAATAATGGTGATTTGGGGAGTGACAAGGTATGATGTTCCAATATTCTTTCTCATAATTTCTTGTGAACCATTTACATCAAACCATAATTTAAAAATTGAGTTTTACATGCTTGATCAACACTCCTTCAGGTCCGATTCGCTGTGGGAGGCTATAAGGAAAGATATTACAAATACAAATTTTCTGCAGAAGGTCCAGAGGATATTGAAAGAAAAAGGAAGGAAATAGTATGTCTAATTGCCATGGTTCTTTTTTACCCCTGTCAACAAACTGCTGCTTTCATTCCATGGAGTTTTTGTAAAAGCTACAAAAACTTTTGATGTGATTTAGCATTATTATACCGGGTTTACTTCCATTGAAGTTTATTTTGTTTCTGTGTATTTCAGAGACCTTTGTTTTTTTCAAAGCTTCCTCTAACACGAAAATTCCAATTGCTGATATAATTATAGGTTAAATGCTACACTGAAGGGCTGCTCTGGGTTTTATTGTACTATTTTTCGGAGCCCCCATCATGGACATGGTAAGACATTTACGTAATATGAACCTCACATAGCTACTAGATACTGATATGAAAACTAATGATACTAAATTATTTCTCCGGAACATCCTTTCAGGTTTTATCCTTTCTATTACGGGCCATTTGCTTCAGACCTCAAGGGCCTTGGTCAGGTGAAAGTGAAGTTTAAAAAAGGTTTCCCTTTTAAGCCTATTGATACTCTCATGGCTGTGTTACCTCCAAGAAGGTAATTCTGCTATTTTCCTTATTGTTCCCTTGCTTTGCAAGTTTGGTCTTCTTAAGTTCTAGAAAGGATAAGACAAATGTTCTCCTTTTTGTAGCGCTCATGCACTTCCTAAAGAGTATCAGAAACTAATGACTGAAGAGAGTTCCAGCATTATTGACTTTTATCCTACTGGTAAGTCCTATTCTGTAATCTCAATAATGTTATGTCGAGGGGATTTCCTAGAAGTAACTACAAGCTTCTGTTTCATTTGTAGATTTTGAAATCGACATGGATGGGAAACGCTTCACATGGCAGGTTTGGTTGCCTTCTTAAGCTTCTGTTTTATTTTTATTTTTTTATAATTTACGCACACTATTATTCAAATTACTGTTATTTATTCGCTAATTGGTATTGATCATCATCCAAGGGTATTTGCAAGCTTCCATTTATTGAAGAGGAACGCCTTCTGTCTGTGACTAAAAACTTAGACAAAGAACTGCTGGTACAGAAATTTTTATTCATCTAGACAAGTATTTGAGAGTTACTGCCTTATTCGAAATGTATTCCAAGCTTATGTTACGTTGTGTAGGGGGATGAAAGAGATCGAAATACAGAAAAACCTGACCAATTATTTGTGCGAAGAACACACAATTTGGTGTCACAAATTATGTCACTATCTAGCAAGGAAAGTTCTATCAAGATTGACACTAGTTCGAGGTAGGACAATTGTTTTGCTGTAGTATTGCTTTGTTATTTTACCCTTTTTTCTTCTGTTTGGACTGAACTATTCCTGGATTGTTTTACCCTTTTTTCATGTTTTACGCCTTTCCAGTTTTGGAGTTGGTGGCACCATACGTTGTCTTGATGCTGCCATGAGTGAAGGAGGAGATTACAAGCTTCAAGAAGAGCATGTCGTGTAAGTCAAAAACGCAAATGACTTGTATCTTTCGTTCTGCTCAATACGTTACTGTCATATGTTATCGTCTCTTTAATTTAATCCTGTTGCAGTTGCATGCTATACGAGCTTCCCGATAGTGATCCACATCTGCCTCGTTTACTTGATGGTGTAAAGCATCCCAGTAAGGTATTAAATCGAACTGTTTTTCCACCTCTGATCCTATGTTTTTTCTGGAACTTTTATTTATACGTTTCCAGATGCATCTTTTAGTTCAAAACTTAGGTGGCATCACTTTTCTTCATCAATATGCTATGTTATATATTATGCAACTTAATTAGCGTGCGACAAGCTTAGATAGTTTCGGTAGTCGTTTGAATGAAATGACAATTTTTCTGATCATATTCTTTTGCAGACAATCACCAAGGATGACCTTACGGAGACAAAATTATGGCATGAATATCAGGGAAGCGCACCTGCCACCACCACCACTTCCAGGTCAATTGGTTTATTGCTTCCGGTCTTCTCGATTTGCTTCTCTTATTTATGTGTACTGCCTATTCTCTTTTAACTTATTTAATAGAGAACTAAATGCAATGCAGCACCCGGCTCCAGGAGAGGTTTCGGAGACAAGATAACAACGGAAATGGAGGCTTCCAGAACAATGCTAGATGCACTTCTAGCTCTACGGATTTAATGCACAAATTTGCAGGTTCTGGATGGGGTTGTGGTAGAGGGAAAGTTGCTAATCCTAATTCTGGAGAACGGTTTTATGCTCCTCGAGGAATACCTGGCGAAAGAGTAATGTCATCTAGCTCATATTCAGCCATGGGTTCCACAGACTACAAAAGAGTCTCTTTTCATGGGAGATCAGTCTCTAATGATAAGTGGAGGGCAGTTGGTTATGTTTCCGGAGATCGAGCACAAGGCTTTATGGATTTGAAGATATCGGAGCCAAGCCAAGCTTGGAGGCCAAGTGCAAGAGGACAGCCAGCGAACAACGCTTTTTGGCCATCTAGAAATAGTTTCGGACATAACACAAACCATTCTTGGCAGAGTTCACAATTAAATCATAGTCATGGCCGCGGCAGAGGCCAACAGCAGGGTGGTCGCGGCCAAGGCCAACAGGAATGTTGGAAGCGTTACACACCTTTTTCTGCTAACGATTCATCACAAGCCGGTGGGAGATCAGAGTTTGTTCCACGTAGTTCTGTCAATCAATGAAGCGCCTGGTCATAGCTCGTTAAACCATAGTCTCTTTTTGCATTTCCGCCAAAACAGAGAAAAAGCACTTTTGTGTACAGTTTTCATCACTCTGAACTCTGGCTGCATTTCACAATTTAAGGGTGTAGAACATTTGGCAGTTGAATCTAGCTTTTCCTTGACATTTTCAGTTGTTTTCTGCTGATTACTAAACGTCCATTAAGACTCGTATGCAGAAGCAACTAATTGCAAACTCTGCGCATACGCAATAGTTAGTAACCGTAAATCCTCATTATTCGGTTCATTTCCACCAGATGCAAGTCAACTATTGTTGCAAGTGAAATGCTAAGGGGACTCTTAAAGCGGAACTCTATATTCACTCTCTGAAACTCATGTTTATGACATAATGTTGGCACGAAATTGACGTTAAACTATGAGATGACAAAGAGTGTAGGATATGTATCAACAATTAATGATAAACATATATATATATATATATATATATAAATTCACATATGCTAATAGTTAATTAAATATATATATATATATATATATATATAAATTCACATATGCTAATAATTAATTAACCACAGCTGAGTATATTGATAGAGTACGAAAAATGAAATTAATATCAAACAAGTAAAAACAGTGATCAAGGCTTGCGTATCGCAATATCCTTGAAATGGAATTTCGTCCCTACTCAGTACTTATAGTTCAATGGACATCTGCTTCACCAGGATACAATGATCAAACCAGAATTCCAGCATCGAAAAACTTGGTTTCTGGCGAATGTCTTTATGGTTCTCTCAGAAAGAAGGTTTTGGTATTTTAGAATGAGAATTCATTTTTTCTGTGTTCGAAATGACATATAGATGGATGTATATATATAATACCCATATGCTTGTTTGCAACAGGTTTGAATATGATATACATCTTTTGGGAGGTATCTGCTCAAAGGGGTGCATGGCCCTTGGCATTCTTTCATTGTCTTCCAGATGAGTTTGTTAATATAAAAATTAATTAATTAAATCTGAACTTAAAAAAAAATTATTATATTTAATTATTAGAGCTTGAGCCAAGGCCATCTTTTGATGACGAATTCTATATTAGTTTAGGTCCAATTATGCCATCCTCGGTCCATTTCTTCATTCACTTTGTAAGAGTCTTATAAAGTATGAAAAATTGTCGTTGGAATCAAATTCGCGCACTATCGGAGTGGTGTGAGTGGTGGAGGTGCACAAACCCCCTGAACTATTAGAAAATTTTCAATCTAACTTGCACCCTACACAAACGAGTTGGATTTCCGTTAAAAAGAAAAATGACTCCATAAGCTACGTAGGAAAGTACGTTTATTCACCATACTTTTTCTTTTTAGCTGTTATTAGATTTCAAGAAAAGTCATCTCTACTATAAACATATAGAAATACACCACAAATTACACTTGGAAAGGGTGTCAGATTGATTGTTTACATATCAAATTCGTTCACATGACGACTTTCATGAGTAGGTGAATCGGAAAATAGAACTGATGGATACAAATAACAGCGCTCAATCTAAATGTCCTCCTTGGTGACTCTTGTGAGTCCGGTGGCTTACAGTTCTGTTAGGACTACCAAACAAATCTAGGCCTAGTGCAAATGGAGTTGTATATCATGCTCTAGAACTTCAAAATGTTGGCCATGTCAAAAAAATTTCACCAACGTCCTTCGCCTTTCCTGGCGCAAAACCATGTAGTAGGGCCATGAACCCCTGCTTCCTTCGTCAGCGGTGAATTTTTCCAGAAAATCAAACATGGCTGAGAACAAAAATTCCTTGAGGTTAGTAAGTGTGCCAAAGCTACAAATAAGAGAACCGAAGAAGACAACCTGAAAATAAAGCGAAAGAGGGTTATTGCTCCATCGACTAACCAAAAACTGCATAACTGTATCTTGCAATGTCAGAGTGGTTAAAAAGCCTTCTATCTTACATAAACAACTCATTGTATCTATTCGGGAATTCATACACATCTTCTACTTATCAAGTTTTAAGACCTTAAGTGTTTAGGACACTAGCTGACCAAAGTTGCACAGTAATGTGGATTATTCCATCCTTTTTGAAGATTTTATCATACTGTGTATCTTTCAAATCTCAAGCGCACGGAGACTCAAATCTCCGTGTAGGTCTGCATGCAACTCCGCACAAATATCATGTCTCAAAATGTTGAATAATAAAGTTCCTAGCAATGCATAATCATTAAATACTCTAAGAATTCTATGGCTCCGTTGCTCGTACCACCGACACACAATTACAGTTCATGGCGGATAAAAGGCCCTATGTTACAAATAGATACAGAGTCAGGCCTATGTTACAAACATAAAGAGTTAAGCCTGCATTAAAACATAAAGAAAACTGTTGATACAACTTTGTCAACCAACCAAATCAGTGAAATCACATACACAAACAAATCACCAGAGAACAAGAACTAAAATTTCAACCTTCCAGAAGAAAACCAGTTAATTTTCTTCGATCAAATTCACAATTGAAAAACAGCAGTTTGCTCTTCATTCTGATCAAGTATCTATCTGCATAATAATACATGTCAACTTTATTTTATTTATGGGACTCAATTAAAAAAGGATACTCGAGCTCCCAAATTAGAAACAGATTCCTACTCTCATTTAGGAGAAGGACTTACATGGCATGGGTTCATTGTCACTAAGTCCCGGTTCAATAATACAATGCCAGAACTCCACTGTGGCAGTGAATCCGTTCTATGTAACTTACTCTCTCTCCTCATTTGGACGTACAAAACACATTCAAGTAACTGACTCTATTAACCAAAGTTGTCTCCGAAAGAAGAACACACAATCCAAATCCACAAATTAATGCTCACTAATACGGATTGGCAAAATGAATATTATCTCTAAGGAGATGATTTTCACACACCCCATTTAGCATCTCACATACTCCTCTTTGTTATCTGTCAGCGGATTAAATAAATCAAATAGAAACAACGGCCAGTAAGTGTGTATATATCATTCCCGTATCTCTAATACGAAACTAATCAAATGCACAATTCAACTAACCAATAACTTAATGCGCTTCAAATTCAAATTATTCAACAAATATTATCTCAAATAAGACCAAATCTGATTTGTTAACCAATAACGAAATGTAACAAAAACTCACAGCTACGAAAAAATTTGAAAAATGAAATACCTTTAATGTGTAGAGCTTCTACACATCTTTGTAGAGCAACTGGTATTTGGGTATTCGCTCCGGTGGAAGGGGGCAATTCACGATCATCTTCCCCTTCATCGCTCCTCTGAAAATCGCCTCGACAACATCGATAAAGTCCTGTTTCTGCTGAAACGGGCCGACCCATTTGGTGTGGTCCGCAGTTCCGGAATCCATCTTCATGTGGTGGGCATTGAAGAAGAAGATGGTAGACGGGATCAGAGCGATGTCGAAATACTTGACGTAGACTTGAATTTCCTCCGAATCGGCATCGACAAGCGCGACCGTGGCGAACTTGGAGACCTCCCGCGCCGTTTTGGCGAGAACGTCGTCGAGGAGAAGGCAAGCGGAATCGGAGGAGCGGCCGAAGCGGAGGACGAGGACTTTGTCGATGGTGGATCGGATGAAGGAATCCACCTCCTGCTTCTTCGTCAATGTCGGCAATACGTAACTCATGACTCTCTCTGTTCTTCTTCCTCACCTGAACTCTGAATTCCTCTACAAGGATGTTGTGAGCGGCAGATCAAACCCAATGAAGAAATTCCACAACAGAAAATTGAAAGTTGAGGAGGATGACTAAAATTTACGGCTTCTTTAGGTTTTTTTATGGCTGGTTATTTGTTAGGCCATCTTTAACCGATCCGATCAAAGGGTTAGAGAGCAAAAAATCGTCGAAATGACACAAAAACGGTCTTCAATCGAGAGCTAGGTCAAAGGATTTGTGGACCCTACTAAACCAAATAATGAAATCAGGCCAGCGGGCTGGCCTTATCCAGCCAACCCTCTCCCGGCCCAACAATTCAAATGCAACAGTAACCTCAACTAGCAACGGCTAGCTGACGTCATGTTGAAGGCAGGTTACCATTGCATTTGGTTTTTTTTTTTCTTTTTTTTTTAAATTCTAATTTTCTTTTCCTATAAATACCTAAGTCATTCCTACATCATTTCTCACATAATTTTCACAATTCCATACTATCTTACCTCATTTTATTTCAATTCTTCACATTTTATTCTCTTAGCTCTTCCAATAATCTTTCCTTCAAATTTTTCAATAATTTTCAAATGGCTACATTTGCAATGAAAGGAAGGGCTTGGACCAAAAAAAAAGATGAAGCTCTTTGTAGGGCTTATAGATGGGTCTTGGAAGATAGTGTTAAGGGGAGTTATCAAACAAGTGAAGGTATTTGAACTCGTACGTTCAAAAAGTACTATAAGTTCTACGAAGACACCACTCCACCGAATCCTCAAAACCACGAGAGTTGTTCTTCAAGATGGAAAAAACATCTTCAACCAAGTTTGAACAAATGGCATCAAGCAGTGTTAAACACCCAAATTAGACATGAAACTGGAGCCAATTACTACGACGAAGTAAATGTTTTCACAAGTTATTTTAAATATTTAATTATATTACATTTAATTTCATAAATTAATTTCTTTTAATTTTTTTAATTATATTTTCTAGGTATGCCAAGTGGAGGAATTGTATATGGAGGACATGAAAAAACCCATTAGTCATCACGGTTGTTGGAAAATTTGTAAAGGGTGGGTGTTATCCACCTCAAGAAAGATTTGGTCCTACGCCAGTGTTCAGAAATGTTTCCTCAAATGCAGTTGGGGATGAACAAAGATCTCCTATCATTCAAGAAACAAAAGTAGAAAATATGTCTCTGGGTGAATCTTCCATACCTAGGGCTACGGGATGAAATAAGGCCCGAAATTGAAGGAAAATGGCAAGGCAAATGATGATTTAGCCTTTCGAGAGGAAATGGCATCTCATTGCGATTACCAAAAGAGATGAATGATAGGAACATGCAAATGAACACTTTAGAGTACACTCAAATGAGTCAGACATATTTTGATAGGAAAAAGAGGGAAGTTATGGCTCGACGAGAGTTGTTTACATCCGACTATACTCCTACAATGGCGGATGAAGATGATGATGATTATAGTCTTTAAATTGAAGTTGTTGTAGTCTTTAATCTTTAAGTTGTAGTTTTTAAATTTAAGTTGTTGTATTCTTTATATTAAACAACATTAAACAACATGAAACTTAAACAACATTAAACAACACAATATCCACCTTAGTACTACTTGGGGTTGGGGGAGTTATTCAAATTTAAACAACATTAAACAAAACATTTAACAACATAAAACTTCCTACTCCATGGTTCTTTTGGCCCAAAGATGTGCAACAAGATCCTGTTGTAGGTACTTGTTTATGGCACGTAAACGTATCATCCTATAGCGCCTCATGTACTCATTTAAAGAGATATTACCAGTTCTTGCATCCAAAGGCAAATTAGGCCCATCATATATTTTCGCACGAGCCATCCTTGACCTATTTGGATCATCTTGGTCGTCATCAGACTCTCCATCAATATAGCCATCTCACTCATCCTCCACAATCATGTTGTGTAATAAGATGCACGACATCATGATGGAGTTCAATTTATCTCGATTCCACCGTCTTGTCGGTTCCTTAATGATCTTCTACCGTGCTTGTAGAATACTGAAATCTCTCTCAACATTTTTCTGGTATGCCTCTTGGTGGAAGGTAAACCACCCTTGGGCGTCATCCACAGGGTTTACAATTGCTTGGACAAGTGTCGCCCACTTTGGGAAGATGCCATTTGCCAAGTAATACCCCATATTGTATTGACACCTGTTGATGTAGTAGTCAAGTTGAGGTGATTTACCCTCCGTCAGGTTATTAAAGAGGGGTGAACGCCAAAGTACTATAATGTCATTTTGGGATTTTAGGACTCCAAAGAAAGCATGCCAGATCCATGTGTCAAACGAGGCAATCGCCTCTAACACAATAGTTGGCTTTCTCAATCTTCCGCTAAATCCTCCTTGCCATATGGTGATATGGTGGGATAGTTCTTCCAGTGCCAATGTATGCAATCTAATGACCCTATTATGCTTGGAAAGCTATGATCTTCAGCTTTGCGAATGATCCGAGCTAATTCTGCTTGATTTGGTTCACAAAGGTACTCCTTTTTTGTACATCTGAACAATTGTGTGACAGAATTCAGCAAGATTATCAAGGCATGTAGACTTAGACATACCATATGTATCATCCATCGCATCAGCTGGGGAGTCATAAGCCATCATTCGGAGTGCAATAGTAACATTTTGATTAGGTGAGAAACCAGAACTACTTACTCTATCCATCTTTTTTTGAAAGTATGGATTGACATGTTAGACATCACGAAGTAAACGCTCGAAGACATGACGCCTCATCCGGAATAGATGTCTAAAATCCTATTTTGTGTACATCGCTTAGAGTTAAAGTAGTTGTCTATCAGAGTCTCATGCGCCATCTCTCTATTTTTTGGTTTGTAAGAGCGACCAGCAACAGAGCCACCCCATTAAGGTTGTTCTTCAGTTTCCTCACATACCATGACCCCAGCCATTGCTGCAATATATGGTGTGTTGCGCCATGATTCATCTTCTTCATTAGATTCCTCATTTTCTCATCTTATCTGCGTCCATTTATCTTTCAATTCAGATTTGAATGAGGACCCCCAGTTGGAATGTGAAGAGGATCCAAAGTTTGAATTGATTGCAAACTTGAATTGAAAGACATATTGGAGAGGGCAAAGATGAAGGTATGTGAATTCTACCCCAATATCCAGCCAATTTAATAACATTGGAAGCTGAAGATAAGAAATGCCACGTAGATAAGAATCTCATCTAAAATTTGCACAACCAATTATATCATGACACGTGGCACTTGAAGTCTTATTCGAAAAATTATTAAGATTACATAAAGATAAAGAATCTAGAAAGTTACTCACTTTAACGACACATGCATCCTATCCGAAAAATTATTGAGAGTACATAAAGATAAGAAATCTGGAGAGTTACTAATGTTAGCGACACGTGTCACTCGAAATCCTATCGAAAAAATTATTAAGATTATATAAATATAAGAAATCTGAAGGTTTATTCATTTGGCGACAAGTGACACTCAAAATATGTCTGAAAGCCTTATTTTAATATAGTAGTTTAATTTAAGTAAACATATTAATTCAATTAAAATAATAAATTATATTTGGCTTATCGCCTTAGGCCCCATCGATTGGAGATGGTATAAAATATGGCTTGACACTGTTTATTAAAATATAATTTCTTACAAGGCTATAGGGCTAAAGATAGCTTTTTGGCCCTCCCTTGGTTGGAGATGGCCTTATACCCCACACAAGTATTTTAAGGCATTTTAAAAGAGGTCTTAGATTTGATTCTCGCCAAAGGCGAATTTGAACTCTATTAATGCTTGTCCATTGTGAGGCTAAGCTAAGCCTGGCAAACGAGTCGTGTTTTGTGTCATATTCGTGTAACACCTGTTATCTTAACGGCCCGTGTCATGTCACACCCGTTATTTTAATGGGTCTTTAACATGTCGTTCACTTTGCCCAACAGATAAAATGACTCGACCTGTTATGACCCGTAAAGAAAAATATTATTTTTTCCTTAAATTTGCACATACCACATTACTACATAAATATTACTTCAAAACATAAAAACACATTTGTCGTTAAGTACTACATCTACACTCCAAAATAAGAGCTTAATAAAACAACACCAATACTGTAACATCCCACATCGCCCAGGGGAGTGGATCCTGTAAGCCTTTTATGTATATTTCGATCTCTATCTAGCACGAGGCCTTTTGGGAGCTCACTGGCTTCGGGTTCCATCGGAACTCCGAAGTTAAGCGAGTTCGGGCGAGAGCATTCCCAGGATAGGTGACCCATTGGGAAGTTCTTGTGTGAGTTCCTAGAAACAAAACTGTGAGGGCGTGGTTGGGGCCCAAAATGGACAATATCGTGCTACGGTGGAGTTGAGCCCGGGATGTGGTGGGGGCTCGGCCCAGGATGTGACAAATACACTACTAGTCTACTACAAAATATCAAATGTGTGATGATATGCAAAATGAATGAGTTTTTCTTTTCAAAGTTGTGAAGCCTTTCTCAGAAGTTAAAATCTTGCCAATGAAACTCAAAGCTTGCATGTTATTTCTTTACATAATCCTTCAATTTTCATTGATCATCATGGGGAAATTGTATTAGAACTTTGGCTTGATCTATTGCCTTCAAGAGTTATGTTGATGATGTTTTAAGTAAGGTTTCCCACATCAGGACTCTCTTCCGTATAAACTAAGTATAGAAAAACCAAACATTATAAACCATTCAAATTATGAGAAGTTTACCAAAATAATTATGAAAAGAAATAAAACATAGTGCTATACCATATAAAAATATATTACCTTATTTTTTTCAAATTTTTTAAATTAAATTTAATATATATAATATTATGTATATGTATGATACATAATTATTATAGTATTTTTACGGGTATAAAATTATTAAATTAATATTTTACTTTTCGTGTATCGGGTTACCCACGTGTATATCCGGACCAACCCGTTATCTTAACAGGTGCTTATCGGGTTACCCGATAACGACCCGATTCATTATCATGTCGACCCGATAACTTGTTAATTTCGTGTCATGTCGGATTAACGAGTCTTGTCAAAAATTGCTAGGCCTAGGCTAAGCCCACCCTTTCCCTTAGTGTAGATAATATCGTTTGTTAAAAAAAAAAAAAAAAAAAAGGACTCATCCTGG